CCCTATTGGTCTAGAAGAAAGAAGCAAAGAAAGAGAGCAGGAAGTCTGAGGATTGACAGCATGACCTGCCCTTTATGAGTCATCTTCTGAGACTGAGAGGTGAGAGGGTGAGAGGGTGACAGGGTGACATCTGAAATGTGGAGAGAGAGGAGAAGCTTTGAAAAAGTTACTGAAAAGAATGGAAGGGACAGTTGATTAGGGATGTATAGTAAGATTGGGTGGCATTGGGGGGCAATTTGAGTTAGGAGGCCTTGATTTGATGGTGCATCAGTCTTGGAGGTTTTGTGGTTTTTTCATGAGATGCTCAGTAGCTACAAGTATGAAGAAACCCACAGTTGCATGTATTAGAGTTGTGTCCTTGCTGAGTAGCTGTACCCATAGGTCTGATCCTTGGGAACTGAGGATCTTGGCACAATATCTAAATCCCAGAGAACCCCGGAGAGTGCAAGATGCTCTAGGACAGTGGCTCTCAACCTGGATGCACATTGATATCACCGGAGAAACTTTAACAACTACTGATGACTGAGTCTTATGCTCAGAAATTCTGATTTACTGGGTCTGGGGGCGGTGGTCTCGATGTTGGGATTTTTGTAAACTTGCCATTTGTACTGTGATGCTAATGTACGGTTGGTGATTTTTGTTCCCCTAAGAAACAGTGCTAGAATCTCAGTGTTTTAACACAACAAAAGCTTACTTTCTACCCCACTAAGTCTGGGTAATTCTCTCTGGGCAGCTATCCTTGTGCTGCTGGGCATTCCAAAGACACTGGGACAGAGGAAGAGAAGCATTAATAACTGAGCCTGGTTCTTACCTGTTTTTACCAAGAAGTAACATATCACCTCCACTCATTCTCACTGATCAGAACTAGTTTATGGTCACAACAAGTTTCTAGGAGGTAGAGAAGGCAAATGAATATTGGTGAACACTAGTAATGACCACTATCTAGAGTTTTTACTATAAATGAAAGCAGAAGGGGATGAAAAGGTTTATTTAATTTACAAACACTTATATTATACTTGTTATATGAGAGATATTATTTTTATCAAATCAGAACTCATTTAACCCTCATAACAGTACTATTAAATAGGTCATTTTTATTCTATTTTACAGAAGGGCAAGTTGAGACTAAAGAACCTGCTCTCAAGTATAGTCAGTAAGTGGCAGATTAAGTTCCAGGCAGTCTGGATCCAGGGTCCAGGCATTGAACCTCTGTACAATACTATCTCTCTATTCTGCTTTTTCTCACCTTAGATTCTGGGGATGTGAGGAGACAGGAGAGGAAGAAGTTCTAAGTTTAAGTGTGGGACTTTGTGAATGCAGAGGAATTGCTTACTGCTTGGATAATTCACCACTAGAGCTGGGAAAGGACTCTGGGGAGGCAGAGTGGGGCTTGGGAAGTGGCTTGGAGAGGAGGAAATGTTTTGCACTGATACTTATGCTAATGTGACCAACCTCATGCTAATGAGTCCAGGCTGGAGAGCAGCTTCTGGCAGTTTCCTTCCTTCTTTCCTCCCATTTCTCCATCAGAAGCACCCTTTTAGCATGTGTGGATTGCACCTTAGACCTATGCTGAGGTTAGCTCAGAAACAAAGAACAGGGATGGGGAGAAAAGTCATTCCCCAGAGAGTAGTGGTTAGGCCATTTTCACAGAAGGGATCAAACATTAAGTCAGATATTAATGCGTTTCTGAGAGTTTATATATAATTACAATTACTCTCAAATAAACTATATTTTAAAACTCACAGAGGAGGGGTGCTTGATAAAAGACTCAGTGAATCAGTAGTAATTGCAAAACATCACTTCCTAATACATCAGTTTTGTAAGTCTTCACTTTTATATTGGCTGCTGTTAAACTGGAACATACCTTCAGTTCATCTAGCTGTGTTCTACGCAGTTGTGACCTGGGAGTCAGTGGACACCTCTGGGTACTGGAACTTTTGGTTCTCACTGAAAGAGGGGATAGATGAAAGAAAAAGAGGGATTGATAAGAGGATGCAAACTCAACAGTTCAAGTAGGTTTATTGCTACACCTGAGAGGGACCCCTCTGTTCTGGCCAGCAAAACATGGAAAAGGGGTCTCTAACAGGCCAAGAGGCTTTTTATGGCCAGGGCTTTTGGTGGGCTCTTTGAAGGGAGGGGTCAGGGGAAAGGTGGGCTTGTGGCTTGCTGATGTGTCCTCTGGAGAATGCTTGTAGCTTAAGTAAGATGAAACCTACTCTCTCTTGAGAGAGAGTGATCTGAGATGGTGGGTGGGCTTATTAAAAAAGGCGGTACTCTGGTCCGGATTCTATCACTCACAGACAACACCACTCTGATTACAATACCTCTGGAGAAGAGAAAAGCACAAATAGTTCTGCTTTAAACTAGAAGCTTTGCAATGAAACAAACAAATAGAAGCCCTTTATGTGACATTGAAGCTCTTTGGTTCCTGCCTCTCTCACCTTTTAAATCTTGTGGTTTGGTTACAGCACATGGATGTCTGCAAAAAAATTCAAATGTTGTATTGGCACCTTCAACCTGCCAGCACATTGCTGAGGGCCAGGCAATCCATATGGTGCCGCTCTATTTTCTTTAACTCAATTTTGATTAGAACTGCTGCAAGTTATTGCCAGGGGTTTCTCTTTCCTCTAGTGCTGCAGAATCAGTGATGGCAACAGAGATCACTGGAGTTGCTGGTTATTACCACACTAAACCAACAGCTGATTATTTTCTCATTTACACGGAGCTTTTGCTACAGGGTCAGGAGACCTGATTCTAGTCCCAGTGAAGCCTCTAAAGCAACGTGTCTTTTTCAACTAGGCACTTCATGTCTCTCTTGGACTTGGTTTCTTCTTCTGTAAAATGAAAATTTGAAACAGAAGATTAAGAAAAGTGTGTAAATCAAGGATTTGACACTTTATAACTACCATTTTTACATAATTAAAATAATCCAAAGTTGCATAATCCTATGTAGTTATTAAGCACAAAGAGACAGGATAAATATCATTTTTAGTAAGTCTGCAGATGAAAGTAAATGGGGGAGGACTACCAGTAATTGTGTGACTGCATCTTAATGGAGTCTGGAAGAGTTTTCTCTTTGGGAAGTGTGAGCTAATATACCCACAGAGGAGTGATTTGGAAGAGTGATATTTATGCTGGATGGGAAACGCTTGGAAGCCAATGTTTCATGTCAATACTCAGAGGCAAAATGTGGGCTGCTGCTGATGTGCCGATTTAGAGTGTTTCCTGTTGATGATGATGGGTTGATCATATTGTAGAAGTCTAGAATAGTGATCAATGAAATATATATATTTCTGAATGACTGATCAGTGTAGGATCGCAGTATGTTTGCACACTAGTCTAGTTGCTGTGAACACAGGTCATACAAGACCCACCAGAGGAGGAAAATCACATTATGTGTCCAAGGATGCCTTTCCAGGTCCCTTCCTGCTTGTACAGGGAGGGAGCTGTAACCTCAGCCACATTCCTGATCCTTGCAGTTGGTAGATGAACCACAGAGATCCAATCTGTGCCCAAGTCCCTTGTTATTTAACTAAAGATACCCCAATGTATTTAGAAGGTGTTCCAGCTGTGGGGGATTAAACTTGCACCAACAGCAGTGCTTGGCTGGAAAGCTAGAATGACTTGGTGTTATTCCGCTGAGTTTTTTTTTCTAGCAGAGCAACCTGCTCTTTGCCTTGTGTCAACCTTCTGAGTTTGCTCAGCCGCCCAAACTTTGGACGAATGGGTGGAAATTTCAGAGAGGAGAGGGGAAAAATGACACTAAGCTAAAGCCTGGAAGCTGGCTGTGTGTTTATGTGTCTGTTGCTCTTGAGAGAGAGTGATCAATAATTCATGGCCAATGATTGGGAATCTTGGGGATTCCAAACAAAGTCAGACACCGCTTCTCCCTTATTGCTGCGTGGAGCAGGCGCCTAGCAGAGGTGTTTCCACTAACCCTAGCTTGGGGATTCCCGCTGCTTCCCCGCAGCGTAGCCTTGACCATTTCTAACAAGGGTCACCTACCATATTATGACCCCAGCAAAAGGGGATGCCCCCATCCGACTTTCCTTTCGTTTTCACTTCCCTGGGCTTGGCCTCACCGCTACCTCTGACCCTGCCTCAGCAGTTTCCCCACTCGTTGAGTCTGCTTCCGCAGTGCCTTCTCTACAGGCCCAGGTGGAGCCTCCGGAGACAAAGCCTTAGATCAGGGCCTCTCAAACTTGAGCGTGCATCATATTTATCTGGAGGGCTTGTTAAAGGAAATAATTGCCCTCGCCCTCAGAGTCCCTGGTTCTCTAGCTCTCGGGTAGAGCCTGATATTTCTAACAAGTTCTTAGTAGACGCTGCCAGTCCAGAACCACCTTGAGAACCACTGCTTTAGATAAAAGAAGGTGTCGCGGCTTGGGCTCCGCCTTTCTTTCTGTCTCTCCGAGTTCCCTTCACACTTCTACCATTTTCCGTTCTCCGTGGAAGATCTGCTTTTAGACTATTTTCTAACGGCTCCATTTCTGTCCCCTGTTCCAAGCCGATAGAGGGTTGTTAGAAACCATACCTACCCTCACCCTCCGATCTGCACAGCTTCGCTCCCTTTGCTTCCACTGTTTTTCCAGCGCAAAAACCGCTGTCCGCTGCACAACCCCTCCTGGGTCTGGGTGTGAATTATTCACACTCTTCCCCTGTTCCTTGTGTTAAGTGCAACCTTCCCCGCAACTTAGCAGCGGTGGCGGGCTCGCCGCTCGCCTCCTGAGCCCCGCAGCCCGGGGGCAGCTGTGTGGCTGCGCACTCCCGGGCGCGCCAGACCCAGCCTGGGGCGCCGGGGATCTTCCCGCGCCGGCTCCGCACGCCGTCCCTATCTGGCTCCCGCTCCGGGCGTTGGGTGGGGCGGGCGCCGAAAGCTCCTCTGAGGAGCTTCGGGCGCCGGAGCCCGGAGGGGGGCGGTAGCAGCGTCAGGTGGCTGCCCTGCGTCCCCGCGCGCCGCCCAGTCAGTCCCTGCTTGGCGCTCAGCCTTAGCCGGAGGGGAGCTGATTCACAGCCCCAGCAGCCGTCTTCGCCAGCAGCCGGGGCGCGGGACCCCGGCCGGAGAAGCTGAGATGTGACCCCCTCCGACTGCCCATTGCCCTCCCTGGCATCCCGCCTCTTCTCCCACCTCCTCTTCCACTCCGCGGCGCTTTGTACTGCGAGGTCTGCCTCGAGCTCCGGGGAGAGAGGAGCGGCTACCAGGCGCACAGCCCGGCAGAAGTTGGGCTTGGCTGGGCAGCGGTGGTGCAGCTGAGCGGTGGGCTAGGTCCGGGTGAGAGGAAGGCGCAGGAAAGGGGTCTGCGTCTGGGCTAAGAGGGTCCGCAAGATAGGGGGTTGAGCTGGCTCTTCCGCTCCCCCGGCCCCGGGGCGCGGGGTAGGGGGAGAAATGCTGAGTCCGCGCCAGGGCGACCGTCACCGCGGCCGCAGCCTCAGCTTCAGCATCAGCACCGGCGGGACAGCGACAGCGGGGGCGGCGCAGGCGCACTGTGCCCCGCGGAGCCTGCAGCTCCCGAGCCCCGTGTGCGGCACCGCCACAGTCTGGGCAGCGGCGGTCGGGGCAGCGCTACTACCATGAACTGCCTGGTCGTCCTCCCCAGAGCTGCTCATCCAGGTCGGGCTGGAGACACAGTCAGGGGACCCCGTCGCCGCCGCCGCGCCCCCTCTTCTTTCGGCTCAATTTTCTCTTCCACCTTTCCCTCCTCCTCCTCCACCTTCTCTTCCTGCATCCCGCCCTCCCCCGCCGCGGATCCTGGCCGCCGCTCTCCAGACCCAGGATGCCGGGGGGCAAGAGAGGGCTGGTGGCACCGCAGAACACATTTCTGGAGAATATCGTCAGGCGCTCCAGTGGTAAGAAGAGTTGTAGTTCAGAGCACCCTCCTCCTCCATCCTGCCCAGGCGTGTCCCCCAATCCTCTCCTCCATCCTATCCCTTTCCCCAGGCGGAAGGGGATGCATACAGCCCCACCTGATGGCTTCAGTTACTAGCTGGACCTGATTTTGGGTGGGAGTGGGAGTGAGGTGGCTGAGGAAAGTTAGTTGCGTCCGCTCTCCACGATGTACTCACCCCACTTTCCCTCCTGTCCAGAGCCCGGAACAGGGGGAAGGGGAGCAGGTGGGGTGCAGATACCTCTGGAGAACAGAGTTGAGTTTCGCTGTGATGAGGGGCATCTTGTTCATCCGGTCCCCACAAATAGGCTGTAGAGTTTGACCAAATTCTTAGACTTAATCTCAGTGGAAGAAGGGTTTCCCTCAATTTGGGATGGTTGTGAAAGTGGTTACCTCATAAAATTTAAGTCTCTAGAATGGCTTTTGGGCCCAATGGGCATTGCTGAAAGGAACCTTGTTCTGGGGAGGGTTGTTGGAATTGAACCTAATAAAAAGTGTCAATGTCTGAAAAAATATAGACAGCTGGTACCTAGAAGGCATTCACAATGGTCAAATTTGTGTTTAACGTTTTTTCTTTTTTCATTGTGGATTGGTCTGTATTGATCTATATGATGTATTTGATTTGACTTAAGCAGGAGAAATGTCGAAGGGAAGCAATAGCTACTGTGCTTTTAAAGTAACTGGAGAAAGAATTCAAACACTGCCATTCTACTTTGCCACTGATGTTATGCTGTTCTTGTCTTAAAATGTCTTTAAAATACCACCCATTTATGCATTAATTTCCTTAAAGATATTGTGAATGGGAATGGTTTTATATATATATACTTCACATATTTAAATACATATTTAAATATATACAAAATATATGTATTTCATATATTAAGACTTATAAACCTTGCATTTTACTGAAATCCACATATTCTACTTTAAAAAATTTTTTATTTACTTTTCAATTTTATAAGCAAGATATGTAAAGTATCATTTAAAGTTTTTTCTTTCAGAGGCCTCTTGTTTTATTCTGACATCCTTTGCTTGGAGAATTATGAAAAAGACATTTTTGAATATTGATTACAAAAGAGTTAGGATCAAAGCAATGAGAATATTCTATGCAGTTCCATAATTCATTGTTTACTTGTTCACTCATTCATTGAAATAATATTTATTTGGGTATCTTATACAACGGACACTCTGTGGGATTCCTTGGATAAAAATTGATTAAGATACTTCTCTTTTCAATAAGCTTCCTGCTTAGTGGGCAAGACAGGGGCATACTCAAATTGTAATAAATAATTAAATACAATTATGCTTTCCCTGAACTGGTAGATTAGATTATTCTAATTCTTAGATAAGGCTTTCTTCTAAAAGAAGGTTTGCAGATATTTCCCCTGAGTTGTGGACTATATATATATATATATTTGAGTATGGTGTTCATATTTTTCATAATCTTTGATATAGTATTTGGTTTTAATTTGAGCCTTGTGACTTTGTTTCATCTATTTTAGTCAACACCTGAAAATATGCAAGTTTGGGGCAGACTTTTTGGGTTGAAAAAATAGATAATAGGCCTGGTCTATTTTAAAAAAAATACCTGTCATATTGTTAGCCATTTCAGTGTGCTTTCAAATGTGTTCTCAACTTTTTATGATAATATAAAGTATAAATTAATAATGCCAGGTAATTTCTATGTCACACATTACTTGTACTAATATGACATTAATTAATATTAGTTACTATTAATATTATACAAAGACCTGAGGTATAGTGGATTATTACCATTAGAACAACCAGTTTTGGAAATTTAAAGATTAATGGGAATCAGCTATTTAAGATGTACCAGTTTTATTTGAGCTTTCTCATCCTCTTGGGTTGCTTCAACTCCATGAAATTTAGTCTGTGAGAGGACTTTTCAGAGGAGGCTTTAAAAAATAAAACCATAGCTCTCTGCTGCTCTGCACAGTAACCAGAAAGATGAGAATTCCTTGACTTAAGTTTACCAATATGGGATCTTTGGCTGAAACTTCTTATACAGTCTGGAACTATGAGCCAGTTTGTAGAATATCTTTTCAGATATGCCATTAAATTAAGATTTACCTTATGTGGCTTAGAAATATCTGCATATGTTGTCTCCATTTTACATTTACCATCCAAGTTAATGAATGTTTTATCTTTTTTACACTTCATAATTGTTTCGTTAATTTAATGTTTCTTTGCACCAATTGAAAAATTTATTCATTTTGACATTTTAAATACCACCTCTAACTGCTTATGGCCAACATTTAATACACTGCTCAAAAACTCTGAGCTTTATTTGAAGTGTTAGGTATTCAAAGTAAGTATATGCACACATGTACATAATGAATACTGGAAAGTTTCATACCACTTTTATAGGGAGAACCTCAGAGACTGACAATTACAGTACTAAATTGGTCTACACATTCACGTGGGAGTACCCCACAGTTGTTATTTCTATGTGACTGGGCAGAGAAATAGAAAAATTCATTCTGAGAAATATGTTTTCTGAGAAAAAAAATTCCCTCTCACAAATATTCTGAGAAAATTGTTTAATTGAGGCTAACAGAAAATTCCCTTCTGGACTCTTGCAGATAGATGGAGTTCGTCACAGTGAAGATTTCATTATTCACTAGCTTAACAACATTAAAAGTGAAGTGTTGGCAGAGCTTTAGTGGAAAAAGAAAGAAAAGGTGTCAGCAATGTATTTAGGAATTAAAGAAAAGTAGGCTGAGATTGTCTATTTACCTTTGCCCCCATGAAATGCTCCTCTTTTTGATACAATGTCATTTATTTTTTTAAATGAAAAGATCAGATCTTTTAGTGAGAATCAGATGAAATAGAAACATAAAGATATGCACACAGGTAAACATACAGACAGACATCTACCCAGATACAAAGATAGCTTAGGAGGAAAACTCTCACACACACACAAAGAGTAAAAGAGAGATGTTGAATGTAATAGAAATGTACAGAGCAAGACAGAGAGGGAAAGAGAGAAGGAGGGATATTAGAAATGAAAGGGAAATGGACACAAAAAGAAAACGACGGACATTTATTTGTCAACAGATACTGCTAATGAGCTGTAATCTCAGCCAGTTAGAAATCCATCAGAGACCTTCTTGATGATGCAGAGCGAAAGAACAAGAAGTACTGTACATATGAGTATAGCTTTTAAACCTGAGGATTTCCTGATAAAGTTCTGAAATCCTCAGTTGCAATTCCCCAGAATAATAGTGCCCTATTCTGTGCCCTAGAGTAGCACTATAACCCATTTGCTGTTATTTTACACCTCTTGAGATTGGATTTATATTTTCCTTACTTAGTTGACTCAGTCTGTTATGGGAAAGCATTTCAAGTTGTTACTGGTGATTCAAAGTCTATAAAATAAAATAATGAGGGCCATTGAGAAGGTTGGATACAAACATTATATCCAACTCATATAATTTGGGATTATAGCTGAATCCCAAAATAGTAGAAGTAGGGAATCTTCTTTTTAGTTTTAAGAAAAAAGGCAACATGAGACCATTTTTAGACAAACAAAAGAAATTACAGTAATTCTTAACATGTGCTCTAGTAGATATAGCAAGCACACTATTACTCCAAGAAGTTGTTAAGACCAAAAGTTATAAAAGGTCATTAGCAAGATTGAGGTACATTTTTGTCTAGTAGGATCAAAATAAGTTGCTAGGAAGGAAAAGTTTCAGTTGTATGTGGTGAGTTTACTGCGTCAGTGCAATGTCTCATTGAAGGCCCCTACCCAAAGTGCTTACTGACCAAATCTGTGTCTGGAACATGATTAGGCTATCTTACTTTATTTAAATTTCAATTATTTATCAGTATATATTGGGCTGTAGGGAGCAGTAAACTTGTGTGTGGAAGATAAATACCTGAAAGAAAAGCATTACTTTTAAAGACTTTTAGGTGGAATTTTACATTCAAAACAAAACAAAATATTTTCAAGGCTTCAGTCTGATTGTGTCAGCATTTTATTCATATGTTGCCTTTGATTCCTTAACAAATAGGCAGAAATGATTAGTTAAGTGGCAGTAAACTAGGTTGCCATTTAAAAAAATTATAACTACAAAATAATGTCTTTTTATTAGAATTTAATTATTGTCCTTTAGTATTTTAAACATTATGAGGAACTAGGAAGGTTTTTATCTTTAGAGAAAGAAGGGACATAGGAAAAAAAAACCCAGAAAAGGTAGTATTTTATGAACTATTTAACTTTGAATAGAGCAAGCTCATTATATTCAATTGCCTATTTTGTTTGAAATACCTAGCTTGCATAAAAGCACTTTCTGTATGCAATTATCTCTTATAGGAAAATGTAAAATTGTTTTAGTGCTATAATTAATATTTGTGAACACCAAGATCTTAAAAGAGAACTTATAGGAGAGGAAATAGACAACTAATGTATTAAAAGCAAAACAAAGATGGTAAAATACCTTTTAAGTATCATCCATCTTAAAAGAAATAGTGAAAAACAAATGGAATTTTTTGGGATATAAAGTTCTTGATATTTTTCTTGAAAGATAGTCTTTAACATCTTAACTACTATTCAGGAAATACTGATAAAACCACATAGTGTATTCAGGCCTTATAATGTATCACTTTCATTTTTAAAATATCCCGCAAGTTGAAATTAAACTAACCACTTCCAAAATTATATTTATAAGTAAGCCAGAGGATTGTCTCTTGTGTTAGAGCCTACACTGCATTGCATAATCAGTAGCAGTACTTTGCTGACCATGGGGCTGCTTATCCCAGGACATTCTTGTCTTTACTAGAAATTTCCCTCTTTGTCTATCTTTTGCTTGATTCTAGAAATGGGGTGGGTAAGAAATCCATGTACCTCGCTATCTTTTAACTGCTCTGCTAAGAAAACCCATAAAGACACTATTTTTTAAAATAAGGGTGCAGCTATGATTATTTTAACTGACAGTGACT